AGGGCGAAGGAGCCCCCGCTACTGCTTCCTTCTGTGGTTTCTGTAATGCCGCTGCAAGTGGAGAAAAAAGTGAAAGATACAACTGACCGAAAGGCTAATACACGAGACACTTGCCCTGGAATGCGTTCTGACCCATGTATTAACACTACCAAAACATTCTGCCCCAAGAAGTTACTAATAAGCCTTATCAGTTTTTATCCTATCTATAATGAATATTAATAGTACAGTATAACCAACAGTTAAAAGTGATTTAAAAAATCAACGTGAACGAAAAACTGTAACTGAGAATCACATTTTTGTTATCTGAGGATCACTAGAAAAACTAAAGAGGAAAAATTAAAGTAGGCAGAAATAATCAACACAAAATAAAATTATTAAGGGCAAAAGCTGGACACAGTAACATTTGTCCTTAAAACTGAGAGAAGGAAATCTTGATAAAATTCATATACGTGAAATCAAAATGCTCTCTGAGTTAAAATGGGAGAGTAAAAACATCTTAAACCCAAAGGACAATTATTTTGTGATATTCCCTTTCCTTTTTTTTTTTTTTTTTTGTTAATCCTTACCCAAGGGTATTTTTTTCCATAGATAGTTTTAGAGAGAATGGCTCGGAGGTCGAGAGGAGGACGGAGGGGGAGAGAGAGAAACATCGATGTGAGACAGACACATCAATTGGTTTCCTCTTGCACGCACCCCGACCAGGGCCTGGGATTGAACCCACAACCCAGGTACGTGCCCTTGACTGGGAATCAAACCCGCGACCCTTCACTGTGCGAGCCGACGCTCCAATCACTGAGGCACACCAGCAAGGGCAGGGCATTCCTTTTCTTATATCAAGATGATAAATACTAAGACCAGTAGAAATATCAAAAGTATACAAATCATAAATGTACAGCTTGATTGTTTTTAATAAATCAAACATACCCATGTAACTAACCCCCAGATCAAAACATTATCTGCATCTCAGACCTGCCCCTGGTGCCCTTTCCACCCCACCCCCAAGGGTAACAACTATTCTGATTCATAGCACTATAGTCTTCTTTGCCTATATTGAACTTTACATAAATCGAATTGTGTAATATATGCTCTTTTTTTGTGTCTGACACTAATGCTAAAGACTAGGGGGAAAGGTATTTTAGGTTAGAATATTAAATTTCAAGGAATTTAAAGAGCTTGGCAAAACAGAGATTACTTCATCTAACAAGAATTTCTTCACTCAGATTTGACAGGTGGTAACCGCTTTATAAGTGAAAATTACTCGAATAAGGAAAACTTAGCCAAATTGAGTGTAAAGAGGCATTTTATGCCACTGCAAGATGTCAAAGGGAATGCAAAATCAGTTACCCTCCAAATGCACAAAAACTTTCACAGAGCAGCTATCTCCTCACCTTACTCCTCTGACTGTCCTGTGAGGCTAACAGGACAGGTACCAGGATTTCATCTCCCTTAATTACTGACTGGGAGGAAGGCGGAAAAATCAGAGCGTGGTTAACCTGTCAGATCCAAGATAATGACAAAGCCAGGACAGAGTCCAAGTGTCATCTGACCTGGTCCCATGTTCTATCCCCTAAACCACCTACTCACACGTGGAAGCAAACTGTTTGGGGGTGCGAAGTTGGTGGGGGACTAGCAATGTGTTGCAGGGGAGCACTGTCTTGCTACTGTACTTACACAAAAGTCAAGATGGACCAGCCAGTAGCCTTCAGGGCCGGGGTCCTCCCATGGAAGCTGTCCAGGCCTATGACAGCACACTGCCCGAAGGACTTCCTTGAACTAATGCTAGTT